AAGCCTAAAAAAGTTTATTCTTTTAGCACAACGTTACATATGGAACGGACTTAGACAATTTACATGCTAGCCCGCTTTCAAACAGTAATCGGTAAAGGCACATAAAATTAGTTGATGGATGAGGATTTGCCAAAAAATCCTATTACAATGCAGATCACTAGCATACGGGTCCTGTGCAGCAAAGTTCTACAATCAGGTTCATGATACCTTCAAAACAGATATAGTGAACCATCATTCAACAACAGATCTCAAACTAATTTGGGGATCCAAAGTATTCTAAAAATTCATTTCAGTTAACCGTGAACTTTCAAAAACTTTAGAGGGGATTCTGTAGGCTGTCTAAAAATTACTACAGATAGATTATCCTCATCAAACACCAATGATAGAAGTTACAATCAAATAACTTTCATATCAATAAATGAATGCTATAATTAGAAGATTTTCACGTAGACCGAAAAAGGTTATAATTAGACAACCTTCATGACAACAAATGAAAGCTCTGATTCAACAGTCTTCACAATCAACATCGAGAGTTACAATCTGACGACTCTCACATTTCAAGGAGCTACAACAAAGATTACAGAATGACAATCTTTGTAACTCTCTGACAAAATAGATTAAAAGTCAACGGTCTCTTCAGTCCAAGATGTAGAACTCATCTCTACATCCCAGAAATGAAACAAAATGGCCACGTTCCAGAGTCAAAGCATAATCAGGTGCAAAAGCATCTCACAATCAGCTGCAAACGTAGCTCATATTCGGCCGCAAATGCAGCTTAGATCCAGCTACTAACGCAGCTTCCAAGTGCTGTAAACATAGCTTCCAAGCACTGCAAATGCAGCTTTCAAGCACTGCTAATGCAACTTCCAAACGCTGCAAATGCAGCTTCCAACCGCAGCGTTCGAACGCAGAATTCAGGCCAACACAAAACCTGCGTTTGACTCGTTCAAACACGAGCTGAACGGTTTCAAAACCATTTTTCCCCACGATTTGAGGGATTTCTGCCCCACTTAGGAGCGGATTAAGGGGACAGTTACACCCCTTAACCCCCCTATAAATATGAACAAACTCAACTGAGTTCAGGATGGGCTTTTTGAATGGGAAATTCCCAGAGATCTTTGATGTTCAGCTGGAAGATCTTTCAAGGAATCTTTTGGAGATCTTTTCTGATTGGAGTTTAGGATAAGAAGTTCGGCATTCTTCAACTGAGATCATTCTTCAGCAACAACGAGTTTTGGTACTTGGCTTTAAAACTGATTTTCAGTTCAAATTAAATCTTTTACAGAGTTTTAAACTCGTTCTGAGTTATTAAACTCATTAAGAGTTCTGTTCAAACTTGCTACACAAGTTCTCCTCAACATCAATCAAGAGAAAGAAATCGTGTTCCACGAGGTGAAACGTTCGGATCGTCAACGGAAAGCAAACTCGACGCGAGCATCCGAGGGAGGCATTCCATCGACACCAAAAAGAACCCAGGTTTAAATAAAGAAAATGATCTCCGTCGATCTTTCTCTCTTTTGTAAATCAGGAATCGGATACAAGAAGATTATATTTTCTTTTTCTAAGTTTGTTAAAGAGAGATTGTATTCAGAGAATTGTAATTAATTCTTTTTCTAAGCCTGTTAGAGAGAATGCTGTTAGACCCTAGAGGGGGGGGGGGGATTAGGGTCTGATGCTAATCTAATCCGATTAAATGCCAATTAAAATTAATTAACAAGTTATCCTAGCACTACCAGTATGAAATACCACAAGAATTATGAGGCTAGGATAAGCAATGTAAAAACTGAGATATATCCTATATTATGAAATATATATATATGCAAGGAATATAACTAACACACAGGGTAAACAATGTGAACTAGATAGTGGATCATATATAATGAATTGAGCTACATGACATGGCGATAAGAAATATATAACACAAGTTATAAATAAACCCAAAAGCACACTCAAGACACAAGATATGATAGACGGAGTTCGGACCTTCCGTCCTAACGTCTCCTCACCCAGTTCTCCGGGAGAAATCCACTAACACAAATCCGGTTTGGAAGCCGACTTCTTACTACACACTCGTTTCCTAGTTAACGCGAAAAACTCTACAACTCATACTATGCAATCACACTCTACACCCCACTAAGTGTGGAACCTAAGCGTGTCTCCCTCAAGTGCTCGTTACAACCTTATCTCTAGGCAGCGTTAACCGCGGCACTCCCCTCTTGGGACGATCCCGACACTCACGCACACACCTTCTGTTTCACTCGGTGTACAAGTGTATTACAGATGTGATTCATTCACAATTAGGCTAATATAACAATGTTGTTTCTCCATTCTAACAAGTGAGACTCAATTAGGGCACGAACTCTTAGCCACAAACACCCACCAACCCTAAATTATACTATGAATGTAAATACAATAAGCTCAATAGGTTGTGTGGAACATTGAGAGATAATAAAATCAACAAACTCATTATGAATCAACTAGCTTAATAAAAATAATTAATCAAACCAATATAAAATATGGAAGTAGATTGAGTTTAGAAAACTTCTCAATTAGATCAGAGTGAAGGAGATAAGAGTTGATCTCAAAACACGCAATAGATGATCTCCTCAAGCTTGTGAAGGTGATTCACAACCAAAAACATCAAGATGGCTTAAAAGCTTATAAACAGCATAAAGTCCAAACAATAAACCTCTTGATTAAGAACTTTCTTAAACTTGTTTTTTAAAACTCTCTTAATCATAAAAGAAAAGACCAGTCAGAATGGGTATAATATACTCACGGAAATCTTCAGGCAAAAACCCCCCAAAACAATGAAAAATAGCCCCNTATTTGAGCATTTAAGCTCAAGTAATCAACGTTCTAAAGAGAGAATCTACGAGAAAAATTGTTTCATAGGGGTTTTTTATATTAGTCCCCCTAATCTCATATTTGCATATTACTCCCCCAAATCTTGATATTTTGAACTTAGTCCCCAAATCTTCAAGTATTCAAGATTAGTCCCCAAAATCTTCATGTTTAGAAATTAGTCCCCAAATCTGTTAAATGTTTTAAATTGGTCCTTCTAGTTAGCAGTTGGTGGAAAGATTTAGGGAACTAATTTCAAAATACTTAAAGATTGGGGGGACTAATTTCAAAATATCTAGATCTGGGGAACTAAATTCAAAATATGAAAGATTTGGGGGACTAATATTAGATAAAATCCCCAATTAAATAAAGAAAATTTGCTTCTTGAGGTCAGTGATCTCCTAAAAATTTCTCGCGTTTCCCCAACTTATAAAGCTTAACACAAGCTTAAATTGTCACTGCTAATCACATATCCAATTGATATTTACAGATGAAAAAATGAATAGAATAGAAAAGACAGTCAACATATAATGAATAGAAAAGATAATAACCATGGAAAGTTAGCAGTTACAGCATTTACCTTCCTACATGTATAAATGTCTCTACTTGTTGGCGAAATGGTGCACTCTGTAACAATTCTGTGGTAGTTTGGGGAGTCCAAGGGCCATAATCATTACACAACATCGTTATAGAACTTGAGCATTAACCGTTATAACATTTACAACAGATTTAAGAAAATAGCACTCACCTCAGATAAGTATGACGCCAGTCTTTGCTGAACTAGTAACTTTTCAATCAACTGTTTCAATAGTATTTAGACTCGTGCAAAGCACGGTTCCTAAAAGATTTTTGATCTTTTTTTTTTGTTTATTCTTTTGCGGTTTTTGACATAAAATCAATCTACAACAACATCAGATGTTCATGATGCTAGTGAGGAACCCAAAGAGCCATATCTAAACATCTTCAAATGTTTGTTGAATAAGTTATTAATGACAGTGTTACATTAAAAAAACTATAGAAAGAAGGAACATTGTAACAGATAACCTAAAGGATTCGACAATGCAAAGGATACAAAAATTGTACCATCTGATGTTAAATTTCTTGTGAGCCTCTCTGATTATCGATCTGCATCAATTAAGAATAGAAACCAATAAACAATAAAAGTTCAATAGACTCACTGAAGTAGTAACAATTCCAATTACAAATTTGTAAAAACCAAGGTTTTAAATATCGGCCGATAATCCGATATTATCCCCGAGTTATCGGTTTTGAGAGCTTTCCGATAGGATAAGTTAGAATTTAAATCGGTTATCTTTTTTTAGGGTTTATCGGCGATAATGCGGCGATAAAGGTGATTATCGACCGATATTAGCAGCTCTAAAATCGGAATTATCGGCCACACTATTAGGTTGTGATTTTGGGTAATGGATAGTTTTTGAGTGAACTTGAAACCCGTCACGACCCGTTCTTTACAATAAAACTTAAACTCGATTAAGTAGCCCTAATCCTCTGTTCTCTTTCCCCTCATTTGTGCGGTTGTGCCCACTGCCCTAATCCTCTGACTCTGTTTCTCTTTGGACTCCGTCGACCTTGACGCTCGCCTCCGCCGACTTCGACGCTCGCCTCCGCTCTTCTTCGGACTCCGTTGACCTCAACGCTATCAACTTCGACGCTGCTCTCTCATCAACATTAACTTCATCGACTTGACGACTTCGACTGATGTTGTGCTCTCTCCATCGACGCCATCATCAACTGATCTGATTGACTCGACGATGTTGAACGACGCTGAGCTCTCCATCGATGCCGAGCTCTCTCCATCGACGCCATCATCAACTGTGACTTCGAAAGTTTGACTTGGACTCTCCATTGACGCCATGCCCTCAACACAACTTCTGAAGTTGTAGTAACAAATAATATTCACCATTTAGTTGGGTTTTTCTCTAGTTATTTAGTGAATGTTGAGAGAATGAAAGAGTGGAGTATGGTTAGATTACAATTTAGGGTATTATATTATATATACACAACATACGGTATATCACTCCGATAAATACTACTTATCCCCGATATATCACCGATTTCCGCTATCCGATAAGGATTTTGGTCGTCCGATAAATCCCCGATAATCGATATTTAAAACATTGGTAAAAACGGGGCTAAAATCCAATAGTTTAAGTCAAAAGACTTTCAAATAATTCAATGTCTACATACATTTCGTCATAATAGTTTCCTAAATCTTCACGTGCCCCAAATCAAGCCAAAAGAACCCTAAAACCAAACTTCCAACAGTTGAATTACAGAAAAATCAATAAATAAGGAATCAAAAACTTATACATACAACATATAAGATCCTTGTTGACATTAGGACTTAAACTACCATACAATATAATAGAGAAATGGGATAAATTGTTGCCTTATTGAATGGAAAGAGAGAATGATTGATTCTCTGGATTTAGGCTTTCTTCGTCCTTCTTCTCTTGGTCACCTAAAACTTCATCTTCAACTGTAGTATATGCTAATGTAAACCGCAAAAGAATAGTAGTTTACGTTACAGTTATGTTAAGAGAGAGAATCAGCACGTAGGAAACTATTTCAACAGGAAAAAAATATTTTACTTTCATCATACTTCTTCATTTTATTACTTCATATTAGTCTTGAAGGTTTCCAGAATAAAAAAATTTATCATACATATTAGCCATAGAAGGATTGAAGAAAGACCATATGATTATCAAAATGAACATCATGTATACAACTATATAGGCTATGTATGTGAAACCTTTGTGAATGTTTTTACCTGAAAATCTCGTACTTGCTCCTGCTGCTCAGCTTGATATTAACCAACCACACTTAAGATTTCCCCGACAACATATTTTTCTCTTGAGTCTCTGGATATTTTGTCGACAATTAGGGACCGATAGAATATATTAACTAAAAATCTTCCTATTGTTGCTAAATAGTTTGTTGTGTCGATAAATAGCAGGTTACTTTACAAAATATATATTCAAAGCAAAGCATCGAGAAAGAAAATGGAATTCTAGAAGTGAATCAGACCTCCTTATTTGCTATTCCTAGTGCTCTTGCTCTTCCTTCTCCTTTCACTTTTCAAGCAATTCTATAAATCATTGCAAAATATTACCGTTCCATTTTGCTCAGTTGGGGAGCGAAGATACCCTTGAGCGGTGGTTGGACGGTGTTGAAAGATGTGAAATCAATTATCAATTATATCATAAATGAAGCAGTTGCAAAAGGCTTGCCCAAGAAAAATGCATCCAAAACAACTTTATTCTCATTCTCACCTATTTAACATTTAGAGACTACTAATTTAGCATTACTATTCTATTGTAAGAAGGCTGAAGTTCTACTAAAACATAGAATAACTTTAAAGGTAATTTTCATTGCTTGAATAGAAATATGCATGAGGATATGTCCTGGAAGAAGAGCTACATTATGTAGTTCCCTTACTGCTTCCGCAAAATCTCACCAAAGAATAATGCATTCTAAACAGTTACCAATAGTTAGCGGGGAAAAAAATAAAAGAAAAATAAAAATAAAAATCTAGGCCACATATGAAACACAGTAGCAACTTAAGCAGGTAAAGTTTGAAGCTTTCAGACTCAAAAGCACATGAGATTCACTTTGAGCTAGAGAAATTGAACATAATTGCCTATTTTATTCCTCAAACAATTATCAGAACCACAAATAATTGCATAAATTGATCAAAAAACAATAAATGGTTAAAGGAACAGGAGTATAAACACCAAAAAAATCAATAATTGAATTGAGCTAGATAAAAACAACAAATCTATCTATTATGTTCCTCACGATAACTTTTCATTTCATGTTTTGGGGTCCAATTACCTGCAAATGCCCCCCTTTAAGCACAATTTGGACAAAACCCAGAAATCAAAACCCTCAATAATTAGAGAAACCAATAAAAATAATAATGGCTCAATGAGGATAAGAGTTTATTTATGATACCTGAATCAGGACTAGGTGTTTTGGGGTCCACATGAAAATCTAGGGCTGAGCATATTGGGTTCGGTTCGGTTTTATGCCCAATCCGCATCCAATCCGAATTTTTCGGATGCTCAAAACTCTCATCCAGATCCAGATTTTTTCCCCTTCATCCGAATATTCGGCCCAACCGAAATTCGGTTCGGTTCGGTTTCGGTTTTGAATTTGTAAAGAGTTCTATCCAAAGACTTCTGTGTTAGACCCTAGAGGGGGGGTGATTAGGGTCTTATGCTAATCTAATCCGATTAAATGCCAATTAAAATTAATTAATACGTTATCCTAGCAAGTATGAAATACAACAAGATATGTAAGCTAGGATAAGCAATATGAACAATCGAATATATCCTTTCAATGAGATATTACAAGTATATGAGCAAGGATATATAAACTCAACTCACACAAGGGGTAAACAATTTAACTACAAATGTGATAGGGTAAAATGATCAACAAGCAATACACAATGACGATGTAAGATATGAACATGAAAACAAGTGCGCCAATGCAAACACAAACAAAGGATATGTTTACGAGGTTCGGTCCCCACGACCTACGTCCCCGCTCCTCACCTCGAGGAGATCTCCACTATCACAACCGGGTTTTCTACGTTCACCCGAATAACGTTTACACCTCACACTCGGTTTTCTAGCTAACCGAAAACTTTACAATCAACACTCTTGCAATCACACTCTACACCCACTAAGTGTTGGAACTAGACGTGTCTCCCTCAAGTGTTAGGAATTACAACCTCTCGTCACCTACCCCACTCCTCTTGGGACGATCCCCGACTCTCGCCACACACTTCTCTCGGTGTACAAGTGTATTACAAAGTGAACTTCTCTCTTGGTGTACAAGTGTATTACAAAGTGTATCCTCACAATTAAGGCTCAATACAAAGTGTTTGTTCTCTACAATGGATGAGAACGAATTGTAAGCTCACTCTCTAAGATACACAATCTCACAACCCAATTATACTATGAATGTAAATACAATAAGCTCAATAGGTTGTGTGTGAACAAAGAGATAATAAAATCAACTAAACTCAATATGAACACTAGCTTAATAAAAAGATAATCAAACAATATAAAATATGAAGCTAGATTGAGTTTAGAAAACTTCTCAATAGATCAAGAGTGGAAGGAGAAGAGTTGGATGCTCAAACACCAATAGATGATCTCCTCAAGCTCTTGTGGAAGTGATTCACAAAACCAAAACACTCAAATGCTTAAAAGCTTATAAACACACTTAAACCAAACATAAACCCTTGATTAAAACTTTCTTAAACTTGTTTTTAAAACTCTCTTAATCAACTTGAAAAGACATCAGCAATGGGGTATATATACCCACTCAAAGCTCAGCCAAAAACCCCAAAACGAAATGACCAAAAACCCCAGCAAACAGCTCAGAGAAAGAGCCGTTAAAAAGCAACGGCTATATTGTCGGTCGACCGAAAATTCCGTCGGTCGACCGATGGAAAAATTCGGTCGACCGATGGAAAGTTCGGTCGACCGTTATCCAGGTCGAAAACAGGAAATCAAGCAAACACTTATCCGGTCGACCGGTGCGGTCGACCGATGGAGCTTTTCGGTCGACCGGACCGGTCGACCGACCAACTCTCTGGACCATGCTGACGAAAAAACAAACGAGCGGTCGACCGGTGCGGTCGACCGAAAACAGACATTTCAAAACCTGATTTTAAAGCTGACTTTTAAGACTTTGGAAAAATGTTAAAAATAACAAATGAAGTCCAAAAATTATGAAACTTTGGAAAATGTATATAAACATGTAAATGAACATGTTACAAAAAGAATTTTCCAAATTGCATTTCCCATTTGTGAAAAATCATCATTTTGCAAAATAGTTCAAAAACATGAAAACCTGAAAATTGATATTTTGATATTTTGACTTAAACAACATTTTGAAACCTTATGAAATGATTGTATAGACTTGATAAAAGATATAACATGTTGTTATGAAGTCTATAATCTAGAAATACAATATTTTCATAAATTTGCATATTCTATGCAATATATTCAAAACACTAAATATGATTTCATTAAATATAAGCTTGTTAAAGGGAAAATCATATATAGGCATATAAACATGAAACAAAATAGTATTTTCCAATTCTATTCATTTGTTTCATAGTAAAACTTGAAAACTATCAAACCAAAACATATATGTATATATATAACTATATATATACAAAATCCAAAACGTGTATGTGCGTATATGATTGAGCTTAAAGTACTAACACACATAATATAAATTCCTAAACTAAATTACCCAAGCAATGATCTTGATCTTCAATAAGCTTGACTTGGTAATCTCGCGGATGAAGCTTGAACTTGGATCTTGAACTTTGAATAGCAAGGCTTCACCGTTATTCCGCCAACCTCCATTGGATATGATCGTTGAAGCTCTATTCCATCCATCCTCCAACTACGTTGTTTGTCTACAATAAATACGAAAACACAAATACTAGACAAACAACATTAGTGGTAAATTGTTTGTTAAACATCATCAAAACAAGAAGGCCAACAATCTCCCCCTTTTTGATGATGACAAACAATTTACAAAAAGGAATATATGCATGAAAGGAAGTGTATATATAAAAGATAATACACATGCATATAAATGTATACTCACAATATTTCTCCCCCTTTGACAACATCAAAAAGGGGACAAAAGAATTAAGAGAGCGAAAGCTCCCCCTACAAATAAGCATGGGTGAGTATGAAGCAAGTATAGGGATTGCTCCCCCTATCAAAATGCCATATGGAATATATGAAATGAATATCATGGCAAACATATGTGAGCACTCCCCCTATCAAAAAGCCATATAGAATATAGATAAAGAAAGATCATGGCAAATATGTGAGCGAGCATAAATGAAAAGATATGCTAAGCATCACTCACATACAAACAAGATACAATGAGGACACATAATGATATGACATTATAAAGATAGTGTCTCATTATAAAAACCATGTATAAGAATAGATTTATGAAATCAAAAGAAGAGGAACATGAGAAACATGCAAAAAAGTTTTCAAATGAAAACAAATCCATCAGAAGAAATCATAAATCAAAGTTTATATCCAAAAACGATGTTTGATCAATGAAGAACTTGATCAAACCACTCATAGAATACATTATAAACCACGAATAGATGATCCATAAGCACAAACACATAAATATCATCATATAAGTGAAGTATAATGAATTCAAAGCAATCAATCAAAATAAAATCTTTAACAAAAGAATTTCAAGAGAGGCAACAATATATCAAGCTCTTAAGCTTGTTACAACCCATATAATCATTCTAGCATCCGGTAAATATGATTTGGGAATAAACACCCAATAAATCCGGAGGGTTATATAAATGCAAACCTCTCATCAAAACAAAACAAATAATCATGAAAACAAAAGATTTTATCAATTATAAATTTATTTTCATAATCAAAATATTTTAAGACATAATTTTAAAACCAAGAAAGGAAAAAGTAAGAACACTAAAATTCTTGGTTTAAAGTTTAAATTTGTTTTGGTACCCAAGAACTCTTGGTACCAAAAGATTTAGGGACATGACCCCTATCATTAAAGTTCAAAGCCTTAGGGTTATGAACCCTCTTAGGCATATATGGTGCACGAACACGGTCATAACAAAAATTACTCAAATGACCCTTCCGATTGCAATAAGTACAATGGAAAGGAAGCATTTGCTTATGTTGACCAAACGGTTGTGCACGGGAAACTTTAGAAACATTTGCAAACATGGATGATCTTTTAAAATTATTTTGCAAATGTGAAACTCTCTTTAAATCAAAACAAAATTTGGCCAAATGACCAAATCTACCACAATGATCACATCTATACACATGAGCATGCTTATGATGAGCAATGGGTGCATGTGTGTGTACATGTGATGAAGAAACTTGATGAGATGCACAAGAAGGATTAATATTCTTATGTTTTTGTGCATCATAGCAAAATTTAGCTAAATGGCCTTTACGACCACAAATGGAGCACTTGTAAACTTTGCTATACAAGTGTGCATAGTGTATGGGTGATTTACTAGATTTAGCACACTTGTCCATAAGTTTCTTATGGTTATCAATGCATATTTTCAAAGTTGAATCTAAAGATGAAATACTATTTTTCAT